GTCGCGATAATTTCTTTCGAGAAAATGGCATAATATCGCGTTTGTACTAAAAGAAAAACTATTGTCGCGTTATAATATCGTAATACTAAGCGTGCTTGATACTCGTTGATGATAACACTTTCTCTCTAGATAAGGAAAAGTAAAGTAAAGAAATAAAAAGAAAATATAAATCAAGATCTCGCTTATGGAACTTTATATACATAGCTATATATGTATATGTATAGTAACATGTATACAATTTTTTATATGCACTTAACAAAACACGTAACTTTTTGAAACATTTTTTTGTTTTTGTTTTGATTTCAAACAGAAATAAAAGATAGAACGATAAAATGTAAGAAAGACCGTGAATAAAAAAAAAAAAAAAACTTAACACAACGCAACGATATTTTATTCCTATTCTATCTGATATGTAATTCGATCGAACTACTGCCGCACGTCAGGTCATGCATATATATATACACGTAGTTTTTTTCTATAGTTCTACTACAAGAAATTGTTTTGGCGTGCGAGATCTTGGACTGATGTGAGACTAAGATTATTCTTACTAATTAACATTATTAATGTCAATGTTATAAAATAGAACCCACCCTTTCCTCTTTAAAATATTAAGGATCAATTGTAAAGGGCAAGATTGAATCATCATCGTGAATGTGAATTAATTATTACGTAAAAAAGAAATAAAGACAAAATAAGAAATATAGTGACAAAATGAAACATTCGAATCCTAGGGGAATCTAATTTATCTTATGGTTAAACACATAAAGTCACATTTCAAAGATATCTTCGAATTTATTTAATAATAAGTTTAAAAAAACGCTGACAGTTCGTGTATATCGCGTGAGTATCCGACTACGACGATTCTTGGCGCAGAATCAATGACTAAGAAAATCTCGGAACGTAATTCAAGACGAAACAAGTATGGCCACAGATAAAAAAACGTGCTGACCGTCTCTGAAAAAAGAATTAAATTTTTTCTAGCTAGCAATCTATCCATCTATTYATCTATCTATCTTTGTTTCTTTATTTATCTTATTCAAAATGCATCGTAGTCATTATCCTGATTATTCTTATTCATTTCTTAGAATGGATGATAAGCAATTAAATGAATTATTAATTTTATTTTTCTATTTGTATGCGAATTATCCTATATTACGTCCTGTGTATATTAAATTTTTCCAATAGAACATAAGTAGTTACTATGTGTTTTTTATTCACAAATAAACATATGTAGAGATTATTCGTAAAGGAAACGAAATCTTAAACTATTCAGCAACGTTTGAGTATCATTTTACAAGATAATTTTTTTTTTTAGTATAATTTTTAAGTTAAATGAAGGGGTGCCCGAATTTTCTCCTTAAATTTTAATCTAGGAATATTTATTGTATTATACTTGCATAGACTGACGTTTAGTGAAATTAAAACTTTAGTATTAACAATATATACATTACAGAGAACGTAAACAAATTGTAGACTTGAAACTTGGCCAATTAACATTTATTATCTTTATTATGAGTACTGTTACGAAAGAGAAAAAAAGAGAAAAATAAGAAAATAAAAAAGATCTTATTATCTTGTTACTTTAAATATAAAAAGCGAAGACATTTTATTCACATAAACGTGAATATTTGCTGTTTCCCATAGAATTTGATATGAAATAAATACATTTACACACTTAGAAAAATAATTAAATTAGATCATCAAGTATTAGAGAAAAAAAAATTATCTTTTATTTTATATTATCTAAAAGATTTTATTTATTAAAAAACGGTAAATATAGGGTGTAACCTCCGTGACTCGTACACACGCTCAACCTTTTCATCCTAATCGATATAATTATATTCGATGTCAACATTAAATAATCACAACGTTTATCGTTGAGTGACACATATAGGTCTTAAAAAAAAAAAAAAATCTTGTCGAAAAATAAAAAAGCTACGTGATAGCGTTTAACTTTTCAAAATATGAAATAATGTAAGAAATAGACTCTCATAAATTCTTATGAGTTAAAAATGAATAAAATAATAGCTTTTTTATAATATACAATTTAATGTTTATCGAAGTTTGATTATTTAACGATGTCGAAATGGGATAACATAGACATTTTCAATGAAATAAACAAAAGAATAAAATATCAAAGCTTGTCGAGTATTAACTAATAGAATTTCGTAAACAGAAGCCTTTCCCCTCTCATCTCAGGTAGACACTTTGTTAACCGTTCCGTAAGAGGATTACCGTTACACGGTTATGCTGTTGCAGGTTCAACGTCACGGTGTAAACCGCTCGAATCTCCTCCACCCATCATACTACTCGTTCATCATACTTCTCGAAGAATATCATATCGATGGTTTAATGTCTTTTTAAAGCTACAAACCTATTAAAAAAGTTCTGAAAAGTATACAATGCACTTTATCAACTTTCTTAGTACTCAGTTCAATATTTAAAATTCAGATAATGAATTGAATATTATTGGTAATCTTAAAGAAAAAAAATATTATCTTATCTTGTACATCATAATTTCAAAGTCCCACGATAAATATTTTATACAAGGAATAAATTATAAAATTTAATTTTGAATAGAAAAAAAAAAAAAAAAAATTCATTAAGGAATATAATCGAATTATTGTTCATATTACTATATGACAAAATAAAATCAATCTGTTATCCTTTATCATAAATAAATTTGTCTAATTTTGCATATTATCGTATGGTATGCACACTGTGAGAAATTTCTTCTATAAAGCACACGAGACAAGATAATTTGCATGCAACAACGGTACCCGAGAGAATCTTTTCAACCATTATTATAACCGCCATTAATTGGCAATTATCAAAAAGTGATAACAACGCACTTTTACTTCAAGGATAATTATGTTCACCGAAATACTTAAAAAAAATTACACGTAAGTATTTTCAATAAACTAGAATGACAAAAAAAAAAACTTTCTATCTTATGAAAAAAAAATCAGTCGAGTGAAAAAAAAAGAAACAAAATAATAAATTAAAAAAAAAAAAAATGTATAATAACAAACAAATATGTGATGATCAATTTTAAATTTGCTTGCTTAATTTACGAAGATAGATAATGTGGTAAACAGTATACATTTATTTCTGGAAGTATAATATAAAATGCATACAACATGAGATGCGTAATATTCTTTTGAACGAGCGATGACGCGTGTGCGCATTAAGTTACGTAATATTATCCACCTTCTTTATGTGTGAGAGAGAGAGAGAGAGAGAGAGAGAGAGAGATCTTTCGAAGGGGAAACTAACGCAGAATTTTATTCAAGATATCCCGCGCATCACACGATTATGCGCATGCGTTATTGTGTAATAACGAAGTAGGTTTATTCGAAAATATCCCGGGAATAAGAATTTCTGTTGTTTTTTTTTGTCTAGTTCCTCGTTGATGACTTGGCCAAATTCCAAGGTAAAACAATCATGTTGACATGACGTACTTTAAAGATGTCTGCTTAGTTAGACCGATCTAACATTATACTTATGCAAAAGAAAATAAAATGAATACAAATTTCGAATGAAAATAAAATAAATACATTTCAAAACGTTAAATTTTAAATAGAAAAATTATTTCTTTTTTTATATATGATATGTAAACATTATAGAACGATTGAATTAATGTTTATTGAGAAAAAAAAAGTCGTATTATATCATTTAGCAAAATATTGATGCTTATTATCTAGATAATATTCGAGTTTTCATATCACGAGCTAATATTTGTAAGAGAATAGAAGAACATATAAAATGAAATATTACGAAGCAAAATGGTAATTCATATCTAAAAAAAAAAAAAAAAAACCAAAGAAAAAGATTGTAAAAAAGGTATACTCATTCTCACCAATTGTACGAGTTTTATGATGCCAGGTATGGTCCTGAAGTAAGACACATTGACCCTTATGCCAGCAAGAGGACTAGGTTGACCTGGTTCCGTCTTTACAGTAGGCACCTGTCGTGGATTGTTAGTTGCGTTGTTGCTGGAATTGTCCATTGTCACTACGGTCTCCGACATCATATTACGTCGCTTATCGCGCGTTTTTCACACTACGATTTATTTCGACTAACAACGCACTTTTCGTAATTTTTTGATTACAAAAAATATATATATATTTCGTTAATAATAGAACGATTTAAAAAGATTCGAGATAATGGTCGAAAAAAGAAAGGTCAAAGAAAAAGAAGAAGAAGAAAAAGAGGAGGAAGGAAAAAGTAATAAAGAAAAACCGGTACTTTCCGAAAGTCAAACGAACAAACACCTGTTGGTTTAAACACGGCCCTCACGGTGGCCTCACCACTTTAAGACTACGACGTAATCAACGACAGAACCGCTATACCCCCACCAAATAGTTTTACCATATCCCTACTTTTCTAACTTACTCCCCCTCCACACTTATTTGTCACTCTTGATAGGATGTACTTGGCGTGTGTGCGTGCCTCATAAGGTAATACATTTCTATGTGCATACTACGTTTTGGACATCTTTTTGTGTTTCTCTCTTGTATTTTTCTTTTTCTTCTTATTATCAATATTATTTTTATATTTAGGAAAAAATATCGAGTGATAAAATAACGATAAAATAACGATAAATAAAATTTCATACTCATACTATTTTATCATACAAAATCTAATTTAGCATTAGTATTTCATATGTTGCTATAAATAAAAATTATTGACGAAAAATGTAATAAAAATAAAATTTGTTCATTATGAAAAAAATATTGTTCATTAGCATGTTATTTAGTATTATTATCGTCTTTTGTGTGTAGTATCCAAAAAATATTCTATGCGATATTTACGTTTAAACAGTACTTCAATTTGAAAATACCGCCATACAACTGTCCTAGAGACTTTACATTTTCCCTATTTTAAGTTATATTTTTATTGGTTACTTATTTTATGATAAATAATATTCATAATTTACCTCTTTTAAGGTTACTTCGCAAATATAAGAGACATTTCTTATTGTTATTAAAATTTTTACTAAAACACACACACACACAGTATTTGTAAATTAAATATAGTAACTACATCGATATAGTGTTCACTTTATCACTAAATATAGTGACTTTATAAGCAAGAAGAAACGTAAGATTTCTGCTGTTACGTATACAGTATAATTTTAATGGATTCGTAATTAAACATAAGATACATCGAAAGAGGAAAGTATGAGTACTACTGCGAAAGGTTTTACTCAAGACTTACCTCCAAAGGAAGGATATAGTCGTATTCAAACAGAACGTATCCCTTTGCGTACTGTACTTGGAGGTAATGCTTGGCTTTTTTTACAAGTATGACCTTGTATTTTCAATATTAAAAAAAAAATGCTATAATTAAATATTTTTTAGGACGTAAAGTCTTAGGTATATCTTTATTCTGTACCGTTATTGGGCATTACGTGTATTACACACAATGGAAAAGAATAAAGAGAGAATCTGTTGAAATGAGAAGTGCTCAATTTGCTATATTACCATTCTTAATAGCTGAGAGAGATCGAGGGTAAGTTGACGCATTTTAAATCTATATATTTAAGAATAAAATGTTTTTTTATTCTTTTTTATTAACAATCTTATAATTAACAATTTTGAAATTTTCAGATTATTGAAACAAGTCAAACGCAATTATGCTGATGAAAAGGAGTTGATGAAAGATTATCCAGGATGGAAAGTGGGTACATACTTTGGGGAGCCAATATATAAAACAATACCAGAAGATGCATTCGTTGAGCCGGATTCATTTGAGTACTTTGCACATACAGAACCAGATGAAATGGATTGGAAGAGTGTACTAAGACAAATTTACTAAAAACAGTTATTGATATACTTAAAAGATATAGTAATCTATTAAAATAGACAGTAAATAAAAGTGTCGAGGCACTGTATATAACATTAGAAACTTTCAAATCTTTTTGTACCTCTAAAACGATTATTACTGATTCATTGTTTTTTTAATTATTACAAAATAGCAAATAATCGATATTACTCTCTAAATTATACATACAAGTTATTCAAGTACTTGTAACCTATTTACTTTTTAAGCAACTAATATTTGCTTATAATGCAGTTTTAAAATTCTTTTATTTCTTTCTTTACGTTTATCTTTAAAATTAAAAATTTTAATCTTTTAAGAGTTCTAAATGTTTTCTAAAAGTTTAAAAATCCTATACTCTAGGAATATTACATTTTCAAATCGATACAGCCCACTACCTTTCTACAAAGGTAATCTTATCGCTTCTCTGAAGTCAACAGCATATTGCTTTGTGAAACGGTAACTTATCCAAGTAATAATCATATCCATCGTTGTTTAACATTAAAGATTGTATGGAAACTAGTTTTGTCAAAAGGTTTTCATTGACAAATTTAATCATTAACATGTATTCATATGTACATTTTATTAAAGTATAGATATTAGTTCATATAAATTATGTTAGATAATACTAATCTTGTGAATTTTTTATGTCGATGTATAGTATGCATATATATTAAGAAAGTATTCTATTATTATTTTAATTGAAAGTATTTTTTATTATAAAGCATTAATATAATATTTAAAAGAAAATTAATTAATAATAAATTTAAGGTATAAATGTACAATGTTTCTTAATACGAAAAATCAGGAATCAGTCTTCTATATAATTATAAAACATGAATTCAAGAACAAATCTTACCTATATATGACTAGTAAGAATAACAATTAAAAAGTATTATCATATCGAGAGAAAAAGGAAAAGAATCAGATAATAATAAAAGATAGTAGGAGCAACAGTTGACGAGATTAAGTTAGGTTAGAAACGGAGCACATAAAACGTGACATACACACACACACACACACACAGGTAAATGTAAATATAGAATAAGGTAACGTATATATTGTTTTCACCAGTACTGGACAACTATTGGTCCTGATAGGATCCCTAGTTCTGATCAGTTATGAAATGTAACTAGCACAGTTTAGGTTATTATAAAAAATAAAACACATAATGGAAAATAAAAATATAAAAAATAATATGCATATAAATAAAGGTAGCATTATCATTTTATTACATTTTAATGTAATTATCTTAACGCTCCTGTGGAGTGATGACACATCCCTTTCAATTAGTTAACAATTATTTTAGGTATATTGAACATTGCATTGTTCTCTACTAATACTTATAATTGCCTAAACATATGTACATTATTTTAAATATTGAATACTTATTAGCGTTTTTTGAGTAGAAAATAATTTTAATATGAATTTAATTTAACTGAATTTCCTTTTCTGCTACTATCATATTTTTAGAACTATTAATGTGTGTGGCAAAAGCTGGTGAATCACCCTACAATGATGATTCGACAAGTAATCAATCCAAAACACAGGCATATTATATAAATATATATTTTATGTATTATGACATCTACATTATTTATAAAAAAATATTAACGACTTGATTTTTTTATTAGAAAAAAATTTTTGTTTATTCTTCAATAACTTAAAAGCAAACTGTTTAAATGACTAATTTCTAATTTTTAAAAAGCAATATTCAAAAATTTGCGCTCGAAGAGAATTGCTACTGTGCTGCTTTCAAGCGAAAAAGTTTGTCAAAACGGCTCTCTATTAAGTGTCTATCTTTGCTTAATCAACGATAATTGTAACTTCACCTGGCAATCGTTGATTTCATAAAAATTTTGATACGATTGTACTTCAATATGGCGAACCGCGACAAAGGACGCAAAAAGTGGGGTGGATTTTCACAAGGTACTTTAAAAGAAATAACATTTTCACGGGATTGTGTCAAAATTTTATGGTGATTTTGTGAGCCAAATTCATAAATAAATAGTTATAGGGCCTGCACATACAAGTCTCCAGCAATTTCCGTTGGATAAACCCATAAAGCTAACCTCAACCAAACAAGCTAACCTAAAAGTATAGAAAGCATTGTAATATATAGTAGTTTACAAACATTTGTTTCTGCTAGAATAAAACACGCTAATATTCTTAATTATTTATGAAACATACTCTAATGCTATATAAGTGCTTTAAGTTAATGTGAATTATGTAACAATTTTTCAATATTCACACTTTAATATTTAATTACTGCCAAGAATGTAAACAGGCCATAATACGTTTTCCGTATCTTTATGTTATCGTTTTTTCAGACGCTTTTTCTTTTATCTTAAATCTGGTACATAAATGTGTAGTTAAATTTTTTTAAAAAGATCTATGATTTTTAAAAGTGATAATGCAATAACAAAGAATCTAGTTTAAAAGATAATACACTTGATTATAATAATCTAAGTAAATTTGTAAGCAGTGTTAATCAATAGTTTCACTATTTATTACATATATCTAATAAAATATTGAATAATTACAGATATATAATATTAAATTATAAAAAATAATATATATACTTTATAATTGCATTGTGCAGTTTAAAATTGGTTGCTTACAAGTAGGATTATAATCATTAGTAAATATTTTAGAGCAAATCTTTCTTGGTAATGTTTACTGTATACTTTCAGATAGTGTACAAAGCTTTAAATTGGAAAAAGAAAAATCAGTAGGAATGCGTGGTGGATGCAATAGAGCACCGCAAGCTTTGTATAGACCAGGGAGCGGTCCACTTCGAAAATCTGAGAAATTTGCCGATGACTTTGATCATGAAAATAATTCACAAGTAAAAACAAAGTCAACATCCGTCCAACATCGTTTAAAGCAATCTCAGTCTAATAGATGCAGTCAGTTGCACCACAGTCCACCGCCTCCTCATGCAGAAAGTCTAAATGAGAAATTGAATGATATGCATATTAATTTTAAAAGTGATAACAGTGATCAAATGCAGGAAGGTTTTAAAAGTAACTATGGTGGAGATCCAAGAAGGAAAAGCAGGAAGCCAGAACAGCAATTGTACGTACCTAAGAAAGTGAAGGAAGCATTGGCAGAACAGGATGTAGCGAATAGGTGATCTTTATTATTATCAATATAAAGTTAACGCTTGTTTAGGAAAAGGGTAATTAATTCAATTTATAAGTATATAGAAAAGGATTGCGTTGGCTTTTAGTATCAATATACCAACATTTTAAATTTATATGTAAAACAGAACTTGAATCAATTATAATATAAATTTAGGTATAATTCTAAAACGTGAGGTATTTTTTATTGCTTTAGAAAAGTGACATTAGCTTTTTACTTTGTACTAAATTTTTTCGGATTTATTAGGTTTGATCGTGATCATGAAAGAGAGGAAAGTGAAGATCGTGATTCTCATTCCAATCGTAGTTTTAAAGTTCATAAACATCGTAATCGTTCAGATGGTCGTAATGGACGAAATGAACACAACAAACGATTTTTGGGTAACCGCAGGAATCATACCAATGAAAATGAAGAGAGTTGGAGATCGGAGTCTCCATTGTCTGCTAAAAATTATGGCAATAGAAGAGATAATCTTAGAGAAGTTAGACAGGTAGGAAATGTATAATTTGTACACTCATTTTATTCTAGTTATTTAGAATTACCATATTAGATTTTACTTATATATCTATTACTATATATTTATTATGATTAGGGTTCAGAACCACTTTTTGTAACACCAAACAACCCAAGTGATTTTTCTCGTACTCGGGATACACGTAGTGTAGAACCAGCTGGATATCCTGACAAGTATCAGGGTAAACCACCTTCAGGCAAAAAATGTGTTGCTAACAAGCTAGAGTATCTACCACCACGTTTTCAAAAGAAATATTTGATTGACAACGGTTTAGCACTGCCTAACACTTCTCTTGGTTCTACAGTCGAAGAGACTTGGAATGGCACTACTGTAATGTATCAAATAAATTTAATATTTTTATCTCTACATAATTGTTTTTAATTATTAATATTACTTAATATTTTATGACATATATACCATAATAGGGTTCATCAGTTTATTATTCATCTGAAATTCAACATTCTCAAACTATGCAAAACTTGCCAACTTCTGGTCCATTACCTCCTCAACCTAGTTGGTCTAATACTGTACCTGTACGAAGTAGGGGTAGAGGTAGACTTAGACCGGAAGAAATAGAAGGTCCAACCAATACGTTTAGACCCGTTACTCCGGATCAATGCTCTGCTCCGAGTTCCAGATCTCATACTCCCAGTCAGGAATATACAAATCGGTAAATTATTATTTATGAAATACTGATAGTATATCAACTTAATTTTGTAAGATTTTTTTTTCATATAAAACGGTATATATATATATGAATGATAATAATTAATAGGTCTTATGATCGTCGTGGTAGTAATAGTACTATGTACACAAGTATGGAAAGTTTAAGTCGTGCTGATAGTGTAGTGATGCCATCATCAACCTATGCATTATCTAATTCAAATAGAAGTCAGATTTCATCTGAAGAACGTCATAGTGCATCATCTCCAATTCCTTTACAGCACCGTACTTATGATGAGTAAGATTCAAGTCTAATCAATTAGAATAAGTAAATTTAGTTTTTCACAACTTAAATATAAATCTTTTTATTTATAAAGACAAAGAGTAAACAATTCTAATGAACGCAAATCCATGGAAAAATATCGTAGTCAGCAAATGCTAAGTCCATCAAAAAGTGAATCGTTTAGTCCATTACCTGATAGGTCAACAGAACGTACTCTTGTAAGTATTTAGTTAAACAAGTCATCTAGTTATTTAATATATAAGTATCTAGCTAAACAAGTCATTTATGTTATACAGAAATTATTTTAATCATTGTTTGTAGGATTGGAGTGAGGAGGTTGAATTAAATGAAAAATTAGAAGCACAACACCTGAGTCGTAGTTCATCTATGCAAAGTTTACGCGAAAGTGTAAGTTCATCTGGATTTCAATCAAAAAGAGAGGGCAACAGACGGGGAAGAAGAAAGCACGATAAGAAATCTACATTTGATTGGTAATTAGATATTAACGCAGACTTACTATTTGACTCTTCGTGCATTAGTAAATGATCTCTTTTTGACTATTTTTCATTTTGTTTTTTTAAGTAACAATAGTTCAGATAAAACACGAGCGAATAGTCGTGATTGTCAAAATGATGAACAGAGTAGAGAGAATGACAGTTATAATAATAATCAAAAAAATAGTCATAATTACAAAAGATATGATCATAGAAGACAGCGCAATATAATTCAACGTAGTCGTGAATCTAGTAAAGACAGAAATTATCGTAGTAGCAGTCGACATTATGAAGAATTGCATAGACCAAGGTAAATGATAATTATTTTATGATATTCTTTTTACATACGTATGCGCATTCATGCATGCGTGTATACACAAGTTAATTATTTTATATGTAAATGTACAGTTAATATATGCAACAATTTTTTTTTAAATCTGTTTAATCTAGACCAGCAGATCGACATTTAGATGAAAATTGGAGAACTGGACGAAAAATGTCAATATGCGATTCAGATGAGGGAAAACAAACTCCTAAAGTATCTCCTCATACTATCCCTACTCCTTTACCAAATACAAATTCAAATTCAAATTCAACAATACGACAAGCTTCTCCTACAGGATATACCAATACCCAACCACCAGGGGTTTTGGTTTTACCAGAAACAAATCAATCACCACCTAACCCTTCTGTTTCTCGGCAACAAGGGTCTCAACAGCAACGAACATTGTTCGATCCGAATAATCCTAATAAGCCCATAGTTGTTACTTCTCCTGGTAGTAGAGCTGTTTCACAAAGGTAATTAATTTCTAATTTTGCATTTCTTTAGTTAAATGATTGTTAACAAATTCATTATAATTATTTTCAGAGAGAATCAAACGTCCTCTCAAATTAGTATTCCTGTTTTTCAATCTCATACGGGCATAGCACCTTATAATAATTTTCATACAACATCAGTAGACGGAAATTCTTTACCATTTCTGATGGATCAGTTCGGCAATATGAAACCTTCTTGGTACGATCCGTGTTCAGACAGGCAAGTTATTGGAACTAACACTAATCGATATATTTTTACTTTAAATAGTTTTTAATATTTCTATGATAATATTTTAATGTGGTTAACAGTTTCCGATCTGCAAAAAATCCTTGCCTTCTGCTTGACATATACAGAGCTGACTTAGAATTACAGTGGATGCTAAGTTCTGGCGGTTTCTTAGCAAATTGGGAAAGGGTGTCCTATATTAGACATTTTCTTCAGGATAGCTTGCTAACATTGCTTAAGACTGATATCAAGTTCTGTCAAGCTGAAAATGTTGAACAACATTTTTGGAAAATATTATTTTACAATATGATTGAAATGTTGAGGAAAGGAATGTCTAAAGATAGTCCAGAAAGCAAAGAATTTTACAAAAAGACAATGCTGAGTATTATTGATGAGGGCACTGTATATTTGGAAAATTTAATTACAGTACTTGAAAATACGTATGACTTCAAGGTACAAGCATTTCTCGCATCATCTACGTTACCTAAAGGTCTTGGAATCTTGGGTCTAGCCTTAGTGAGCGCACAAAAAATATTCCTGTTTCTGGGTGACTTAGCAAGGTACAGAGAACAAGCGAATGAAACTACAAATTACGGGAAATCAAGGCAGTATGTATATACATATTATTTAATATTTATTAGGTAAGTGGAATGTTTAATTTTGTTTGAATTTTATTTATTTAAAGGTGGTACTCAAAAGCACAACAAATTAATCCAAAGAATGGAAGACCTTATAATCAACTTGCTTTATTGGCACATTATGCTGTATGTATAGCATTGTACCATATTGTAGAAAAAGAACCACAGTTTTGGTCGTAGCTAATTTCATATTTTTTTTCAGAAACGAAAATTGGACGCAGTATATTATTATATGCGATCTCTTATGGCATCCAATCCTTTTCACTCAGCTAGGGAAAGTTTGCTAGCACTCTTTGATGAGAATAGAAAAAAGGTATGGTCGCAAGATATTTAAAACATATTAAAATTTTTTTGTTATGATACTAACGTCAACATTTTAATTTTGTTTTGCTCCCAGTATCTACATTATGTAAGTAAATTTCGATACTTGGTGTGAGTCCTTTAGATATCATACATTACCACGGCCAGAGCTTCAGTAGATATTTTCATTCTATAATTTCTGTTCTCTATATACTTTTCAGTTTTTATGCGAATATTTCTATGCACTACCGATATAACTTTCATTTGTAGAATAATCATTTATTCAGAAAGAAATGATACAGTTATAAGAAGTATATTCGCAAAAGTATTTGGAGTAATTGAACTTGTAGTAGATTTGAGGTGCAATGGTCTAATGCACTTTCTTCATCTTTTTTCACAAAACAATTCATGTATCTTTTTTTAGTTGCTGCTGCAGTATGAAAAAACATATTGGCATGCATCCTTCTTCTAGCTGTAGGAAGCTATTATTTAATTAAAAGATACAAATAATATATATACATTAAGACTGTTTAAGTTTCAATTAGAAAATTGTTAAATATTTGTATCTTTTAAAAGTGTAGTTGAGAGATTATGATCTATCAGAATCTGAATTCTTATTAAGATCAAGGACAATCATTTGGTACTACTTCCCATTAATTATCTCTTTCTCTCTCAATTACAAGATGCATAGTATTATTTATAATTTAAATTAGTAATGATATAAGATGTATGCATTTATGATATATGCAATTTTAATAGTACGAATCTACGGAACGTAAACGTAAGGAAGAAAGAGAATGGAAGGAAAGAGCCAGAATGAAAGAAAAAGAAGGAGCAAATAACGTTGGAGGAGGATTACGACGAGAAATCTGGTTTCATCCAGGTGGTAGAAGAGTTAGGCGTACAACCACTGCGGCTAGTACCTCAGATTCAAGATTGGCACAAAGTGATTTAGAAGAATTAGCACAATTAACGAGTGTTGAGGTAGATAAATTAAATTTATTAAATTATTACATTTACGTAATTGTTTATATAGTATTTAAATAATTCTAAAATTTAATATAACATATGATTATTACATTTTTATAATTGAAAAAAAAAAAACAATAATAATCTACAGTGAAAATTTTGATTCTATTAACAGGTGAATAAACGTTTTGTTACATCCTATCTTCACGTACACGGAAAGTTGATCACCAAAATAGGGTAAGTACTAATATCTGTACATCTAAGTCATATTTTGTTTATTTAAATACGAAAAAGATACTTTTAAAGTATCTACTATTTTTGTATATATTTACGTGCATTGTTTCTTTCAAAAACATATGATGGAATAATTGAACACAAAAGTGTTTATAAAATTAGTAGGTAAAAATGTTGAATGATTTAAAGATATATTTGTAAATCTACGCAGTAGAAATGGGCATGATTTCAAAGGAAATAGGTCGTTTAATTAACAGCTAACATATGTCAGCATATGTGATGCATAATCTTTTGCATATATCTTTTATTTTAAGATATTTTCTCACATAGATGAATGATTTATTTCGAAATATAACAATTAGATGTTGCAACGGTAATATTCGTAGAAAGATCGAAGAAATCTTTTATTATTATTCGAAGAAATGTCTAAAGGTACGCTTTCTGTTATTGTTAAGTTTAGAAAATCATGCACTTGTTCATTTTTAATACTAGTTTTTGTAGACATATTTTGAATAGGAGTATAAAATATGAGATGCATACTAATGTAGAGTTCAGTAGTAGTATATCAAAGAAAGGATCCTGAGTTTTCGGTTTTATGGTTTTTTAAGTTCGTCTATGTGTAAAAGAATGTGTGTACATTTAGATTGGGTAGATAATGGAAACAATTACTTGTTTTGAGTAATTACGTTCCAAAAATAATTATGAAGTTAACACTAAATATACCAATGCTTTAAGTATATCTATTTCTATGACAGCAGGTTCATTTTTAAAAAATTATATATTTTATGATGTATGTATATCAAGAAGTATATCATTTATGCAATCAGAATATTTGACTTATCAAATAGCACTACAACTTATAAGAAATTCTGTCAAAAATTTTACTATCAGCCATGGTATGTTTAGTGTTAATGCAAAAGAAGTAGAAATTAGTGTTGTAGGTAGGATAAAATTGATAGGATGTAATCTACGAAATATGGAAGAAAATTTTCGTTGAATTTCTAGTTAAATTCGTTTCGGAAGAAATGTTCTCCTTTTAGTTACCGAACATTGACTTTGGCCTTTTAAATTTACTTTCTCTTCATTTTGTAACACGTTGAATTCTTGTTACGACCTTGCGCTTGAAAATGAGTTTCTTTTCTCAGGAAAACTCTCTCTATCATCTGTATAAGAATATTTTTCCTGTACAATTATATACTTCATTCTTCGTTGAACCGATCTCATCTTACTAGAATTATTAAATTTAATTTGTTAATTTATTATATTTTACTTTTTAAGATTTTTGATTTGCTGGTATATTATTTTCTAATTTTTGTCAAATAAACACCATCTCGTATTTTATTTGTTTAATCATCGTATTAATAAAGGTGACAATTTAGATTAATAGAAGGAATAGAAGCTTTCTTCAAGTTCATGATATTTACGAGCTAGTTAGGAGCAGTAACTGAACAAGTTATGTTCAAGGAGTATGTTTCAATTGTGGTTAAAGTGTCGTAGTGATCGTGTAAGTCAAAGATGAAGGGCTGGTGTGTGAGCTTTCCCCTTGGTGGTGGTTCGATGATGCGATTGAACGCTTGCCCGACTGCCCGACATTTGCATCTCGTAAAGAATGTATAGTTAGTCATTCTCTATTTCCTTTTTATTATTCGAGACATATTGGATAAAAAAATATCGAAAAATTAGCTTCTTGCTTTAATCTCTCTTTCCTCTTTCTCTCTCTGATTGTTCCTTGTGTTTACTGGATGTGACGTTCGCAATAGGCTATACTCGGCACCCTTTGTTCAATGGCTACCTTGCCGACATTACAATCGGTTAAACCGTCATCTCATCGACGAGCATTCAGATGCATTTGACGTTTTGATAAAGATGTTTCTCTCTGTCGGCGTGAAATTGGAAACCGTTTGAATACGCGTACGGACAAACATCTCGTTGATTCTTTGGCCTATTGCTTCGAATCGACCAGTTCGTATTAATTTGTATCGGAATGAGAGGAATATCGTCGACATGTCCTAGTGAGAATGATAATCATCGTTATATCGGTAATCGAAGAATATAAGTACTTACATACACACACATATAGGTATATATATATATATATATACGAGCGTAATTCAACCGTCTGAAAATTGTTAATAACGGCGGACTCGTCAGGAAAGTGTTAATTGATGATCTCCTGGCGCCAGGACTCGATTATCCCGGCAAAAACGTTTTTGCCAAGGTTGTCGGATAATCGTGTAGTCTAACTTTGTACCCGAAGACTATATCTTTTTTTTACCTTAGATAGAGCGACGTCATTCTCGTCAATAGGGTAGCGTTTTGTATTATTTACAAAGTGAAACACTCTCAACTCCTTTATTCGATGGTAGTTATATTTAAGGCGAATTCCATTGAGTAGGTATAGACAAGATTATGCTTAGCTTATTCGTCGTGTATTATAAAATGAACATATAAATTAAAGGGTATGGTCGTGTTTTAGTATTAAAGGATACTAAACTTGAGAATCTTACTCGTTATCGTTATCTCTTAAAGCAGCCGATATTTCGTGATGTATTGAGATGTAATAACGATTACGTTCTAGTAACTGGCAAACATCGTCTATATATGTTACCATGAAAGACCGAAATTGGAGAATGTCAAGATTCATAAGATTCCTTGTCAACACATGCCAAATATATCGGTGAAAGACCAAATATTTGGGTTTATTCTTCTACATTAATATTTCACACATATGTATATCAAGCGACCATGTGAATTTTGACATTCTCCAATTTCGGTTTTTCATAATAACATATTCATTATACTTATTATCAATAAGTTAACGGACACTTGTTCTTTCGTGGAGATGTATATATATTTAAGTATTTATGCTTTGTTTAAACAGTCATTTTAAGGTATATTTTTAACATATCTACAATATTTCGGTGTTGATTTATATATTAATAATATCGAATTACGCTCGATACCTATATATTTTCGAATAAACACGGAATGAAACGCTATTTAGCGAGATTGACCAAATCTCAGGGTTCCATTAGCAAAAGAATAAGGGTTGGTCAGCTTCAGCGTAACATCCTGGGCGGCGTTTCCTTTCTCGTTAGTAACCTTACTCAAGGTATGATCAGCAACTGGAACGAACAAGCGGAGGAACGTAGACGAAGTTTTCAATTTACTCGGAGGGCTCCGCACGCTCGCGCGCAACATAATTGGTTCTGCGATCAGGAAGTGAAGAAAGAGGAAGAAGAGAGGAGGAAAAGAGGAGGATAAGAAGGAGGATAAGAAGGAGGATAAGGAGGAGGAGGAGGAGGTGGTTTGCTCCCGCGACCCGTAGAATACACTTACGATCTATAATTGGAATTGTTACTGAACTGGTGCCATTGGTTAGGCGGTTGTTACCGCGTTGTACGTGCATCGTATGGACTTACCTACAGGTTTCTTTGCGGTCGAGAAAGAAAGAGAAAGAAAGAGAGAGAGAGAGAGAGAGAGAGAGAGAGAGAGAGAGAGAGAGAGAGAGGGAGAAAGAACATATATGTATGTGCAAGTGGAAAGGTGGGAAGAAGAAGCGGGTGGCTCTCGACGCTCGATCGCATGCTTTTAGCTCGCACCTCGTCTGCTTTTGCCGTGTCTATCCGTTGCTGCTGTTATTGCTGCTGTTATTGCTGCTGTTATCGTAATAGATTTGGCTCATTACCAGTCGGCCAACGTCCGATTCTCTTGAGTTATATGCTCTTCGATACGACTTCTCGCGTTATCTAGCTTTTCCGAGATTGTTTTTTTTATTATAGTTAGGATCACTTTGCTCGATTGTTTTAACAAAATTCATTTGGTAAACAATATTTTTTCGTATATTGTCTAAAAACATTTAATTGTAATTAGATATTTTGACGAACATCTATTTAAGTTATTTAGAAAAAGTAAAAGTTCGTAACATTTTCTTGTATTAAATGCGTATACTTGGGTAGGAGGAAAATTACATGATTGAAATTATTTCGTAACATATCCGTTGTTCGTTGTTGCGAATACGTTCTAGTTGAATTTTCTTATTCACTCTATTCGAGAAAAAAAAGCGAAAGGAACTTAAGAGAGAAAGAGAGCAAAAAAGAGGGAAATAACATGGTAAGAAGAACGGAAAAGTGAAGAAGCGAAACGATAGAGACAGTGCGCGTGCGTTACATATACAGACGCAGGAAGTTAAAGAGTACGAGTGTAAGGTACAGTGTAAGGCCTCGGCTGGTAACACACATAGCTTTCTGATGGTCGTTTACCTGCGGCCCTCGTGTGACGACCCCGCCCGCTTCAAGGACACCCTCAGATACCGCAGCTTCGGATCAGAACACGAGCGTCTTCAACGAACGACCGCGTGTATGCATCTTCCTATAAGACTATCTGGATTTCTCTTAACCATTTGATGGACTTTGATCGACTTCATTGAACTACTTTACCTTTCGAACTGACTTTCCTGTCGACATTTGATATCGACGCTGATACAAATGCATCTGTATTTTTTTTTTTTTTTTTTTTCGAATCTACTTTAGTTATCATGTTGAAATAGTTTTTCGTTTTCAGGATCCTTTATGTAGAAGAGTTTTATCTTACGTTAATTACACTTAACTTAGTAATGTCTCTTAACTTAGTATTGTCAAGCTGATTTTCTATTAACATTTTCTTTTCTTGAGAACATATAGTTATACGAAATTTTTTAATTCATGACGAAAATGTCAAGAACATCGGATCATCGGTAGCCTCTATGGTGATAATTAGCTTTGCAGGTGATAGAAAGAATGAACAAATTTCTGATACATTGCTTTCCGATTTTATCAGGAACGTTACACGTGTCGCCTAGAACTAACATGCAACCAATTATGGGACTACATCGTACTTTGATAGTTAACATTAAAAGGGCTTGTATGTCCAATGTACATTTAATTATTGAACTTTAAACCGAGAGATAGGAGGTAGGTAGTTCATTCTTGTAGTTATACTAATTTTACATTGATAAATTTATT